TGCCTCTCCAATCTCTTTACTTTTCTGACCTTCCTCTCTCCCTCTCACACTCTCACTCTCTGACAATAGGGAAAGTAAAGATTGTGTACCTGATTCACATGGCATTTGAGATCCGCGAACCCACAAATCCCAAAATCGCCTTGGGAACTTCAAACTATTCGGGTTGGTTGACATTTGGCTTCCTGGGAATACCATGCAGCTTAGCTCCATCGCCTTAAAATGGTGTGTGAATCCTTTCTTCAGCCATTTGCCACTACTTCAACATTATTGTAATTTTATCGTCTAAATGTGGTGATCACGAGAAATACAGTAGGCAATGTGCTCGCTTGCTGTGACAAGGGTTAAGAGGTCGCTTCCCGTTGGTGCACCCCCAGCGGGAGTTGCTGTGGTACTGACTAACTAATAAAACGAACGTCAATGCTGCAATTTCCCACAGGAGTCTCCGTGGTGCCAATTTTCAAAACGGATCTGTAAATCAATACTTGATTGTGCTTTTTACCCATGATTAGAAATAAATTGACATAGCTGAGTTAAGTTCCGCCTTCTTTGAGAAAATACAAATATATTTATTGAGCGAACACTGATTTATTGGGCATTTGCTGGATATATTAGTGATGATTAACTAAACAATGTAAAAACATATGGTAGGCGTTGCATTTTAAAACGTCGACTATTGATATGCTGGGTAATTCATATAATATATTAATTATCGAATTAAATTGCTACATTTATGAACCATTAATTTTCTATCGCAATCAACCTCTGAAATTTCCCCCATCAAATAAAACGAGAGAGTATAGCATGAGAAACAACACATTTTGTTTAATGAACAAGTTTTCATTATTATTTAAAATTTACATTGATTTTCATACCCCATGCCACCGAAAAATTGCTAAATTTGGCTGTAATTAAACTGTCACTATGAGGTTTAGTCCGAGGGCTGAATAAAGTCATTGAAGATTTTCTTATGCGAATGTTCGAAGGTTCCCCATCCACCCTAAATGGATGTGAAAGTTATTCTCATTTGAAATGAAATTATTGGAAAGTTAAGTTGGATTTACTCCTGAAATACTAAGTTGGCAATTCTCTTAAACCGTCCACTTCTCCGAGTGCAATCCCATTTGCTTGTGAACAAAGTTTCGCTCATCAAATATGTTTTCTTGACTGGGATATGCGATAGACTTACCTCCACGTGGTGCACTCATACGGCAAAAAAAGTCTATTAACTCCGCTGTATGTCATAAATGACTACTTTCACAGTACTCACCTCACCTTTTCTCTACCCCTCTCATCTCGACATTTTTTGTGACTTTGTTGTTCCTCCTCCCCTCTGTCAAGCCTGAATTCAACTAAAGAGCTATTGATAACATTCAAAACACCTGCCATTTGATAAAAATAAATGTAAATGCTTTCTTGAATACGCCATGAACTCTGATTCGAAAATATCTGGGAGCATTAATTTCTTTGAGAATTCATGCTAAAAAATTCCGGTCTACGAGTATTATTTCAAAATGAAAATTTTTAATTTGAGTTCTATTTAACGTAAAAATTCGACCTCAAGTACCATTTTATTTTTACTGTGAATCATCGGATTAGAGAATAATGCTGAAAAAATGCACGAAGTGGATGCTTTGACCTTGAGTCCTTGAATACTAGACATAATTGTAGTCCACTGAACTAAAAGAAGGCAAATGTCATAAGCGGTGCTTCGTAACAAAGTTTGCACCAAAGTAATTCCCTATGGGCATTCAGTGGAGCCTAACTATTTACGATTCGGGAATTCGATCACTTTCCACTTGTATCCAAATATGTAGTTCGTTGCTTTATTTTTGACCTGACGCCTTGTAAAACGCATTCGAATTCCAAGATGGCTGTGTGCTTTCTCGTGATCAAATCTGACTGAAAATTGCACTGGAGTAAAACCCTAATTGTGACAGTCCAGAACAACCTTCTCCGTCCACATAGTCGAGGAGCTGAGCAAGCAAATTCACGAAAAGTCACAACGAAAATGCCTTGAAAGTGAAACTGCGTGAAATAAATCTCCTCGGCTTTCGTAGCCCAAGAGGCTGCATACTTTCAAGTAATTGAAATACCCAGAAAGAACCAATTAATTTCACTTTAAAATATTACCGAATGTTTGTGTGTTTGTGTGTGTGTGTGTGTAGAATGCTCTAGCTACTGTTTAAGTTGTGAAATGTTTGTTTATCCAGACAGATTGACCTTTCCCTCATGGGATTATCACTTACCTCCTGGCAGTAGCCCCGAAATTGGTGCTAGTCGTTTCCTCTACACATTTCAGTCTGCATTGCATTACATCAAATTTGCAATTATTCCCAAACTATCTATATATATGGTATTTTGCTAGAAAATCACCATATAATTAACAGCTCCTAGCATAACCAAGTGAACAAGTGTGCAAAGAAGAAATTATTTATTTATTTTATTTCAAATGGCAGGCGTTGTGATAGGTATCATTAGCTCTTTAGTTGACTTCAGGCTTCACAGAAAGGAAGAGGAACATCAAAGTGGCAAAAAGTCGAGAGGGGGACAGAATAATGACTCACAAACGTAAAAGAGACAGACGGACACAAAGGTAGACAAAAGGTGAGGTGAGTACCGTGATTAGTCGAATATGAAATGCAGTGGGGTCTTGGTAGTATGAAGTCAGAAGTCAACTGCCGATTAGTAGACTTTTTCGCCGTATAAGTATACGCTGGCCAGGGTGCACCATGCGGAAGTAGGTCTATCGCACACCCCATTTCTCACAATATAGAACTGCATAAGTGCAAGCAAACAATAATGGCAACCCATCCCTCTCTCTCTCTTTAAGTGCGTTAAAATTATTGCAATAATTATTATGAAATTTTCAATTGCATTTAAATAACTATCTAAAATGGTAGTCAGAAACCGGAAAAAATAATTGAGGCATTTTTCCACGTACAATATTTGAAGAAGAAATTATTGACCACGCAATCACCCTTCATATATATATAGATATATTTTCTATTACTGAAAGCAAAATTTCGTGTATTTATTCCTAATTCAAGCTTTTCATAAAAGGAATTTCTTCTTGAGCCAAATTGAGGTCAGGTCGTTTGTCAGCACCAGAATAAGCGGTGATGAAATTCAAAAATTTGTGCAATCAGCTGTCAAAATTATATGCTTTATACAGCGCTTAAGCAGATGAAATTATTATTATTATGGAAAAAATTTTTAAATTAGAACACGGCGCTTTTTATTAAAAGATTAAATAATAGGAATTTCGACCCTTTACTCCTTGAGCCTACAGAAAGTGGTGCGATAACACACATTTATTTACAAAATAGATACCCTACCGCTGAGATATTTATTTTTACCAAATGGCAGGCGTTTCGTTAGTTAACAATAGCCCTTTAGTTGACTGCAGGCTTCACAGAGGGGAAGGAACATCAAAGTGAAAAGATGTGAGGTGAGTACTGTGGAAGTAGTCGAATATGACATACAGTCGGGCCAAGTTAGTTTGAAGTGAGAAGTCAACTGCCAGTGAGGGGTGATGGTAGTTTGAAGTGAGAAGTCAACTGCCAGTGCGGGCCAAGTTAGTTTGAAGTGAGAAGTCAACTACCGGTTAATAGCCCTTTCGCCGTATGAGTATACGTTGCCCAGGGAGCACCACGTGGAGAGTTCATGCTACATTTCTCCCCGCACAGATACAGAGTTGATTCGCTTATTGAACGGGTTAAAAGTGCAGCTTAAACTTCAAAAATTCAAAATTCTCGATCCCTAACAAAAGAAATTGAAAAGGCAGGGTATAGGCAAATTTTTAATCACAAAATCTCATGGATATTTACATTTATAATGCATTCTATGCAATATTTTAAAAAATCGCAATGAAAGTTTTGCTTTTACTCTTTGTAGATAAAAGTAGTATTAAGTTCTCTACAAAACCTACCAGGAAACTCAAAGATCAACTAAATTTGGACATCCAAATTTAATCGTTGTCAATTAATTAATTAATTGTGGGACTTGACACAAATATATTTCCTATTTCGTCTTTCTATGGACTTTCTAATAACAGAAGGCATTATTTATTTACGTATATCAAATGGCAGGCGCTTTGATGGTTATCATTCGCCCTTTAGTTGACTTCAGACTTCACAGAAGGGAAGGAGCATCAAAGTGGAAAAAAATCGAGAGGGGGGGGGAACAGAAGATTGTTTCAAAGACGAAGATAGAAAAAAGGTGAGGTGAGTACTGGGAAGTAGTCGAATATGGCATACAGTGGTGTGATGGTAGTTTGAAGTCAGAAGCCAACTGCCCATTGATAGAAATTTTTGCCGTATGAGTATACGTTACCCAGTGCACCACGTGGAGGTAAGTCTATCGCACACCCCATAACAGAAGACATTAAACCTCACCAATCTTTTTAAGACGTAATTATGAGCGCCTACAGCTTAGATTCGCCTTTGAGTCCGAATGATTGTTGAACTGTTTCGTACATTTCTAAATGAATTTCTCTATTCATTGAATTAATTTCTGAAACCTTAAGCTTTCCTCACAACAAGCTCTTGATTTGTCATGCTATGACGCGTCAAAAATTTTATTTTTTGGCATTTTTGTTCTATATGTTTGTGCTTAAATTACATAAACTTTCAGAGTGGCTACAATACTCCCGAAATATATGGAAACCATTAAGGCAGGTTATTCCACTAAATGCGATAATTTACCATATTAAAAAATTATTTAATTAATTAATATCAATGGGTAAATTTTTGTATTATTTATTACGCGGATAAAGCTTTAAGAGGTAGATTTGGGGCATAAAACCGAATGAATTAATATCATAAAAGTGATCCATTTTTTTCATAAATTTAATCCGAAAAATTAATTTAATGCTTTAAAATGTAATAATGCAGTACTTAATGACATATATTAAAGCCGAGGTGAATATAATCGATTTTCCCGCATCACATCAGATTCAGAATTTACAACCTCAATTTCTTCCTCCATCTTTGCCAATCTTCATAACTACCTTCCCCGTCGGCCACTTTTTTGAGAATCCACGGGATCTCATTGCGCTTGCAGAGGTAGGTGCAGGTGAGGTAGCTGTAAAAACGATTTCGATTGCCTCCACACCCACCATAATGGAATGGCTGACAGGAGTTCGAGGATGGGTCGTAGTGGTAGGCTAATGTATAACCTCGGCAGGGTCCGGGATCTCTTGGTTCAGCGCATGCAGGATGCATGAAGGTCGCTGAAATGGCTGATGAAAAGGTGAAGGCCAGATAATTTGCCATTTAAAATAGTGTGTGTCTAAATTACTCAGCATAGTTAACATCCACATCAAAATAGATGTGAGTCAATGAATGCTGATATCATACTTTCTTACTTACTAAAAAATTGGAATGCTAAAAGTTTCGGTAGAGTAGAGCCTTAACATTCAAGCTGATTACGATTAAAATTAGTTTGAATATTTTTGAATAGCTTTCAAATTTTCGAGAGTAATTAAATATCACAATATTTCACTTCAATTGATCGCTCACTACAAGTTATAAGAATCCAATTCGCGGGACTATTTCACAAGTCAACAGAAGAAGATTTCTTAAGGCTTCAAATGGAGTGATTCTCATAAGTAACTCAGAACAGAAAATGTTAAAGACCAGGATTTTGGAAGTGTTCAAGTGCTAACCACCTTAGTACCACATTTATTTAATTTTTTGAACATCAGTTTCCACCAATGTAGTAAATCATTTATATTATTAGGAAATTCATCCCTCCCTTAACCAACAATCATGTGTTTTTCTGATAATAATCTTGTTAAAAATTAATTATATTCATAATAAGTACTTGCACTGAACATGGATTTTATTGATTTCTGCATGAGTTTAATCTAATGGGATTATTGAAATGTTGAATTGACGAGATAACTAATCTTAACAAGTGTCAACCTGATAAGGCTTCGACAATATAGGCGTGATAAAGGCAGTAAGATTGAGGAAGAGACTTACCATTGCAAATAGCGACAAGAGTCAATATGACTAGGATCATCAACATTTTGTTCGAGGAATGAGATCTGAGTTGGGGGACACATCCTTTTATACAATCCTAACGGAAGTGGAAAGTTGGAAAGCTCTCTAGTTCTATCCTTCAAGAATAATTATCTGACTCAGATGTCAATTCTACTTCCGGGTTTATTTACCCTTAATTGCGTGCCATAAGTACTTTTAGCAATTTTTAATGTTTTTTAAAATTCAAAAAAACATTCAACGTAATTTCTTTCTTCTTTCATGAAAGCACTATCAAAGTATGCAAAAGTGGAAACGATTCAATGAGTAACTGATGCAAACGATTGTCTGTTTTTTGTTAAGTAACAATAATAATTAAAATTTGCAATATATTTTTTTATTAACCTCTTTTCTATTGCACAGTATTAATAATAATAATAATAAATACGTTAAATAAACAAAGTATTTTAACAACGAAGCCCAGATATTTTCAAACTGCTATACCAATCATCCAATCAATTACATTTACCATTTATTTATTATTTATTTCAAATGGCAGGCATTTTGATAGGTATCATTAGCCCTTTAGTTGACTTCAGGCTTCTTTGATAGGTATCATTAGCCCTTTAGTTGACTTCGGGCTTCAGAGAAAGGAAGAGGAACACCAAAGTGGCAAAAAGTCGAGAGCTGGAAGGAACATCAAAGTGAAAAATTTCGAGATGGAGGGGGTTGAAAAAAAATCGAGAGGGGGGAACTGGGAACATTAAAGTGAGAAAAATTCGGCAGGGGGAAAGAAGAGCGATTCATAGATGTAAAAGACAGACAGACACAAAGGCAGAGAAAAGGCTAGATGAGTACTGTGGAAGGGGTCGAATATGACATAGAGTGAGGTGATGGTAGTTAGAAGTCAGAAGTCAACTGCAGGTCAATAGACTTTTTTTTGCGTATGAGCATACGTTGCCCAGGGTGCACCACGTGGAGGTGTATGAGCATACGTTGCCCAGGGTGCACCACGTGGAGGTATGAACTATACCCCTTCATATCCTCACAATATCATAGGGATATTTCGCTGTTTCCTTTTTTGTCAATTGGTAAGGGTTGGAAAGAAGCACTATCTAGAAGTAAACCATAAAATAAAAAAATACTCCTTCGTCCTAGCTTTTAATTTATTTCTTTATCTGCAAAATGAGGTGTGCGATAGACTTACCTCCACCATGGGCAACGCATACTCATACGACAAAATAGGTCTATTAACTCTATATATCTGGGAATCACTCTTCTTTCCCTCCTCTCCATTTTTTCTCCCTTTGAAGTTCCTTCCCCTCTGTGAAATCCGAAGTCAGCTCAAGGGCTAATGGCAACTATCAAAACGCCTGCCATTTTAAATGTATAAATATTTAGTTAAAAAAAGGATTCAGTATAATCCATTAAATACAACTAAATTAAATAAATTTCAACGTACAGACAAGTCACAGAGTGAGAAAATCAGACGGTTGGGAGCAAAAATTGCCTTAATGATGCACATCATGTCCGCTAACCAGGTCAATGAACTGGATTTCGACTACGGGATAATTCCTCGCTGCCAAATTTTAACCCTAACATGGTACAACTGACAATATTCGAAATTGGCGTTAAAACTCAAGAAAACTTGCAAGGTTTGACAATCCCATCAATAATTTAATAAAAGGGATTGACGTTAATTGGCTTCATGTGCGGGCACATGAAAGCTATCGTCGGGCAATACCGTTTCTCTCTGGTGATTGGCACTATTTTTGTTACTATTTTTTCTTGGGCTTTGGATGTTACCGAAAAGCATTTGTTCGTTAAAGACCACCCAAAATTAGGGATGGATTGCGACCTGGGTTAGAAATAAATGGATACTTGTCTGGATACTTAAAAATCAAACTCTCGGTTGGCGTGTTATTTATCACCTTAAGTGCGCAGAAACAATAACAGCTTATGATGATAGAACTAATTCAATCAGGGAATACTATCAGGGAGAATCTTTAAGGCGAAAAGTTGGAGCTAACACGTTTATTTTTTGTTAGATCCACAAAATGAGATAGACACTAGTTTAGAAATGTCTCAACACCTATTCTAAATGGCAAACTTTATTGAGGCTTACATGAAGGATTTCGAATATTTGGCCATTTCACTCAACCTCCAAATATTTATTTATTTATATCAAATGGCAGGCGTCTTGATGGTTATCATTAGCCCTTTAGTTGACTTCAGGCTTCACAGAAGGGAAGGAACATCAAATTGAAAAAAAGTCGAGAGGGGGGATGGAAGAGAAGAGTGGTTCAAAGATGTAAGAGACAAACACAAAGGTAGAACAAAGGTGAGGTGAGTACTGTGGTAGGGGTCGAATATGACAACCAGGGGGGTCGTGGTAGTTTGAAGTCAGAAGTCAACTGCCGGTTAATAGACTTTTGCCGTATGAGTATACGTTGCCCAGGATGCACCACGTGGAGGTTAGTCTATCGCACACCCCATGACATCAAAATTAGTGTGATTTAAAGGAAGAAGAGAATCCTTTAATTTTTCTTCCTTTTCAAACCCTTGAAAGGTTTTTTATCAACACGAATCTTGAGCAGGAGGGAAATATTGGGGGGAACTCGGATTGTAGGTACCATCGTTATGTGCATTCGTGGTCCATTTATAACATTAGAGAGCGCACAATGATTGTGCAACATTCACATGATTTCTCATCGGTCTGCTGGACCTTTTTTGGCAGAGAGTGATTCATGAAACTTGACAACTCCTCCCAGCATTCACAATTTGTTTTATACACAACACCACTTTTCGAAATTCATACCTTTCTCCTTCTATCTTATCTCCTCCACTCCACCCCCCCCCTCCCCAAAACACTCTCTAATTCTACCATTTTTGCCTAATGATCAACAGTGATCAACTCAACCATTGATCTTATGGTTAGTGTATCCAGATAACCTTGTGGAGGATCGTAGGGTTGATAATAGGACAGACCAAAGTCTAACTCTGTAAAAGACAAAGTTATCAAAATTTGGATTCTATTTCAATTCTAAATGAAGAACAGTTGCTTCTTGATAATATTCTAAAAGAGTGCATTGTCTTTCCGATAAATTTATGTTTCCTAATTTGGTGATGAACTTAACTTCTGGTTATTTCATCTCACCCATTGGATTCCAGGTTCAGAACCCTATAAAAGACCCCAGAAGCATCGTATCTGGTCCGGTTCACATAATTATATCTTATTGAAACTGAAATGTTTAGATAAACTTCAGAGGGAGAGAGAGAGATAGAGCTCAAATGGAAGCAAGACGCTGTCTCCTAAGGAATTTCACTCCTGGAGCATCAGTAAAAACAGGGCTTGCATTCCAAATTACAAAATCGGAATTATTGTCAAGCCCCAAATTCGTTCGCACATTATTTGAACAAAGACAAAAGACGGTGGAGAAAAATTCAAATAATTTTGATGACATATATGGGAATCAAATTCATCTTCCCTCTTTAACAATTTCGTTTATTTTTTCATTTGAGGTGATTTATTAAAAGGCTCCCCTTGTAAAGATAAACAAAAATTTGTTAATTTGTGTTTTCCCATAAATTCATTCTAAGCTTTTCTTCCATGTCAACTTGACGAAGTCTAACAAAAGGCAGAGACTATATTTAAAAACTAGTGAAATCGGATCAAAAGTATGATTACCTTTTATAATTCAATGTTTGCTGTTGCTAACACCTAAAATTAAATTACCCCGTTTCAGCAACATTAATTAAATCATCGTCATCCGCATGAAACATCTTAAAGATTTTTTTTGCGCGTTTGATTTCCTCTTTTGGTTTCATTGGCCGTCAAGGTGAGGAACCCGTCAGAGTCGAGTTCCTTACTACCTAGAGTGGAAAAATGCGCAAAAATAGCACCACCTCACCAACCAAACATGGATCAGGAAGAAGATGAAAGGCACGGCTGTTTGAGATCCCTAATCCTCCAGATTTCATGGTTAATTTTAGACTTTTTTATCGCTGTCAAGTGGAAAGCCATTTTCACTTCAGCCATTTCCTGGGAGGGAATAGAGTGCTTTACTCTACTTGAATATGGCAAGTAAAATTGGTTTTTAATGATTCCCGACGTTTTAAATGAGGAAATTGGGCAAAACTGCAGAGAGAAAATCAGCCGATGTGCATTATTAGTACTGGCCGAAGATTATCATATTACCATTTTTCAAAGCAAAATTATCATTTAAATAGTATGACAGGTATAAAGGAAACTTCTGCTAAATAACTCATTTTATGAATATCCGTTTGATGAA